TGCGTAGAAGATCTTGATTAGGTTAAAACCGAAACCAAGCCATTCACACAGAATGCATATTCAGCGCATTTTTTTGACGGACAAATATGACTGCTGTACTCGCGTCACACAGGAGATGTATAGAAAGCCATGCAAAGTTAAAACAGTTTAAACTTTTAGAAAACACGTCGCGAATTTGTGGAGGTTTATTCCTTTTCAATGCGTCTCTTTTGTTTTTAAATGCAATCTGTGTGATGGGCGATTCGGCTCTTTGTATTAAGCAATGCATAAATACATGATGCTGTTTTGTTCATAATTGTTTATGCAATTTACGAAATTATATTTGATTTGATTGAGTTAATTTAGACGTAATGCAGGTTTTTTTTATAGATATTTATTTCCTTGCATTGACAATTTAAATGTGCTGCATTATTTTGCTCATTGCGCCCTCCTGTGGGTTCGGGAGACAAGCCAAAAGTTTCCTTAAAACCTATTTAATCTGCATATAAAACATTAGAAATTAGATATTTGTTTAATTTTTATTGTGTGTTTGACTGTTAAAACAAAAAATATTTGTTGTTCGTCCAAATAAATTGGGTTAATTTAAAAATACAGTGGTTAAATTTAAACGTTTTTTCTGTTGCTCTTTGTTTTAAAAAAAGGTTATAAAAATGTCAAGAATTATCGATACCGAACAATATGAAACATTATATCGTTGAAACATTTTTTAGCTATATCGCCCAGCCCTAGTAGTCAACATTTGAAGTGGATCAAAACCTTTCATCAAAGTTGTCCTAAAACCAAAACAATACCCGTTCTGGTCTTAGGACAACTTTGATGAACTTTTTTGATCCACTTCAAATGTTGACTACTGTATTTTAACAAAACTGTTTGACTACTTGTTAAAATTTGAAAACATTTTGTCTGCCAAATGAAAGTCATGTGGTGCAACCAAGATGCAGAAAATGCAGAAAAACATAACACAGGAAATGATATCATAAAGAAGAACCCTCATTACTGTGTCATTAAAGCTCTTAAAATTTTTGATAATTTGATCTTTTTATGGCAAAGCATGGTTAGTTTAGGTAATAAAATGTCATGTAGTTTGACTCCCTAAAAACATAATTATATTATATTTGAATGAATAATTCATGATATTTATAAGAACAGAAAAAGCATTTTTTAAAGATTAAAAAAAGACGTTTACACTCGCATGCATTCAAGGAATAAGAAAAAAGGGTTATTACCTTTTACTTGATGGTTGCACCACATGACGATATACAAACTTCTCTTGAAAATGGTACAAACACAAAAGTACATGACACCAACATACATTTCTTGGAACTTGTTACACGTGTTTTAAACTAGACTTTTTTTTTTTACTCTTTTCATTCTCGTGGACACTCAATTTGTCACTGATCATTAAAAACATCCTTTGAAAGTAAACGAACAAAAATTAGGTATTCAGCAAAAGGCACCATTTTTGATCATTTATTCATTTAGTTGGTCAGAAAATGCTTCAAAATTGACTCTTTGAATCTTGATGGCAGATATCAACAGATTGTTTACCTTATATCCTGTGTGTGTGCGGTTCTTCGTATGAGGTGTGGTGGAGCACAGTTCGATTGCTTCTGGCTCATGAAAGATCACTGTAGGCAGCGGGTCCTTCCGGAGCGTCAGCACGTTGAGTTTGGTCTTTAGCATGGTCTGTAAATGCTGAAAAAGAGAAGAGCTCAGTTTAGGCTACAGCTTGAACATGTTTAACAAATACAGATCCACAGGTGCCTCTGTTTAAACTCATAAAACACCACTTCCACAACCTGCATGGATGAAAGAACTGTTTGCACATAACATCCAAGTTACTCCATAAAGTTTATGGCACACTTGTGTGATATTACACAGACGTCTGTCTCTCTCTCTCAGACCACTCTCATTCTGTAATGGAGTGTTATTTATATATAATAAATACAAAATAAGACAGCACTCACCCCCTCAAACAATTTGCTAAGGGAGATTTAAGTTATATTAATATAAATTATACAGGGAACCTTCTAACTTATACATTGCACGTTACATAAATATTATATTTAATATAAAACATTTTTTTTAATTAACAACAGGGATTAAACAGTGAAGTTCAGTGGGCACAATAATCAAATCTGTGGATGCCAGCTGAAGCTGGTATTTTGATTTCTTGAGCAAAACTATTGGTTTTCATGAAATCATGAACACTTCAGTTCTTATAAACTCTCATTAAAGAGTACAGAAAGTTTGCGAGTCTTTTTGAATGATTCATTTGTCTGTGAATTGGACTACACCAGTTGTGCTGTATATTACTGATTCACTAAAACAAACCAGTTTAAAAGAGTCATTTGTTGCTGAATCACACTTAATTTAAACTTGTTAAAATGTGTTAAATGGAGTGTACTACACGTTTACTGTGACAGCATGACAAAATTAGCCTAAATATAAACTAAAACATTTATAGGGCAGGGTGTGGTTCTTGTTAAATCCTGGGCATTCAGATTCATCTGAATCAGAGCCATTGAGTCAAAGATGATAGAAGATTTCGAAGGGAGAGAAGAAAGTGAGGAAATATGGAAAAGGGGGCGAGCCGAGCGAGTGAGACAGAGGAAACGAGTGAACGACAGAAGCCACATGTATAAACGCACCATGAGCCCAGAATCAGCACTTTACAACTTTCTGAGAGAAAGAAACATTCCTGTGGTCTGAGGATAAAAGAATAAAGAATAAAGAGAGAAACAGAGAGAAAAACAGAGAGAAAGAAAGAGAGGTTTGTTCAGGGGAGGGCGAGGTGCTGAAACAAATCTGGAATTTTATTCATAATATTTTGACTGCGTTTAATTTTTATTCAGTCAGGAAGTCCAAAAAAAAAAAAAAATCCTTCAGAGACTCTATTTACAGCTTATTCACCAGGGGCCGGATTCACGAAAATCTTCTTAAGAAATAAGTTAAGAAATTTCTTAAGATAAATTCCACGAAGCTCGTAAGAATGTTCTTAAGTGCAATTCTTGAAAAATTCTGAAATTCTTGAAAAGTTCTCAAATATATTCTTAAGAACATCTTAATTTTTTTCTTAAGAAAATGACAGTCTTTATCGGAGTGAATAGGCAACATGACGCACTGATAAACTCACACTTTATTGTCTTTTTGCGCTTCCTGCAGATTGCCCTAGTAATCATAATAAACACGCACACTATTTTCGTCGCGACTTTGACTGGCGCTCAGCTTCACGTTTTTAATGCGGCATGTTTTTGAACAGTTACTTTTAAAATAGCCTGTCTCAAGCTGCAGCGATCGGTTTCATTAATTTTTGTGCTGTGTTTTTGCGCTCTCATCCGAGTGAACGCTTCCGGTATGTGTTTTCGCGCTGCTACAGCAAATGCGTCCTGTGTATCAGTGCGTTCATATGCGCTGAATACTGCCAAAGATTATGTCGTATTTTTAGGCTAAAATTAAAACCGTCCAATTAAAGCTCCCTCTCCGACTCGTTTTTGTAGAGATGCTACTGAGTTTTGAAGTCAGCAAAAAGTAGCATCACACATAGGCTAATCATGACCGATCATTGTTTACATCAGGGGTTTTCAACCCAGGGGGGCGCCAACACCTGTCAAGGTGGGCGCGAGCATCAGTTAATTCAGAGATGTTCCCTTGAGAATTTATGAATATGAGTCAACAAATCTTTAGCCATTAGGGGGCAATCTGACTCCCACTGCTAGTCGACAGTTAGAGCAGAGTTGGCTCGAGTATCAATCACGCTCAGTGTTGCCAAGTCCGCGGTTTTCCCGCGGAATTGGGCTACTTTAACACTTGCTGCGTTTTGGGCTAGTTTTGAGTAGCAATTAGGCGGGTTTTGTTGTGAAAACCTGGCAACCCTGGTCATGCTTATTGACAGTGTAAGATGATTTACGATTAGCCGTGTCGGAAATTCAACCCTCCCCCAAGCCCCCCAAAACGATCAGGCCAGTGCTGCTTCCTCGAGAAAGTTTTTCATTCTCACGTGTTTTAAGTCTTTTAAGTCTTAACATTAAAGTGAGTTTAAGCCATTTAAGCCCAAGACATCTCAATGCAGTACTCACGCACTGTGATAGAGCATTTCTATGCGCACCACTCACACACCTGAACTGCACAAACAGATAGATTAATTATTTGGGCAATATTTGTCATTTTATATGCGGGCCACATTTGCGGAATCATGTAAGGGCCACTTTAGGCTCTTAGCCACATTAGCCAGTGTTTACCATGCCATAACTTTGCCAAAACTGGCCCAGATATGGTTTAGGATAACTGGCCCACATTTGTGGCATCATATGTGGGCCACTTTAGGCTCACAGCCACATTAGCCAGTGCTTACCATGCCATATCTTTGCCAAAACTA